CTTTCCTTAAAACCTGGCTCCAAAGACCAAAGGGCGTTTTTATAATATTTCTGTCTTATAGGAGACAGTTTCCTAGTGCTAGTCTTAGTAATGCTAATTATTGAAAACTACTACCTTCTATAACAAATTTAATTTTACATACTTTTTCATTTTGAATCTTTGATACACATGATGAAGATTTATTCTGTACTCAGTTGCTAAATAGCACAAGAAAGGTAGCATATGCTAGAAGCTGTACGACTTAAATAGCACCTCAACAGATGTCTCACGCTGCGCTGCAGACCCAGTGCTTAAGGAGATGTGTAAGAGTGTTCTGGGTAATCTAGTGATTTTCCATCTTCATGGCACAAGTGATAGAAAGATAGGAACATAGTCATTCATGGATCTGTGGCTTTTATTAAATACCATCACATCCCTGATAGGCAGTTTTGTCTGCGTTAGATCTTTCACACTTTAGATGCTGGTTTATTAGCATTAAAAACACTGAATGTCAAAATAAGGTTTTAGGAACACTTACAAGTTTTGTTTTTCCCGCATTAAATTTACTTTTAGTTCAGGTAATATTTGGACACCCTCACCAGGTATTACAACCAAGTGCACCCACCACCGAATCACCCATAGCTGACCACCATAGACCTTCCCTCTAGTTCCTACCTCTCCTCCACATACACCCCAAACCTTAGTGCTTCAGTTTCTGTAGTCAGCCTTTAAGGGTCAGTTTTTAAGTTTTTCTTTATCTCTTAGCTACAAGCTTTTAAACACCACTGACTGCAAGTCCTCAAGAAGTACTCCAAGAAGTAAATGTGAATACAAGTCTTTGTAAGAACATATTACTGAAAGTCAAACTCTTTTGTTCATGAGTCAAGTTATGTAATTTCTAACATGTGAGAAATATTAACATGCAGAATGGCACAGTGGAACTACTGGTGAACTGTGCCATACAGCCTTGCACAGCAGCCCTTTGGGGCCTCTTTACATGCTTGCATGTTGCTACATAAAAAGAAAAAAATGGGCCCTCCCTGGTGGCACAGCGCGTTAAAGCACAGTACTAAGAATGGAAAAACCACTTCCACATGAGTTTGATCCGCGCCTGCCCCGGAGCTGACCACAAGGCGCGGAAGCCCTCTCCTGACCCGCCTGCTGCTCCTCTCAGCAGTGTACTTGGTGGATCTGCCTGGTTTGCTCCCCACTCTTTCGCTGGTGAATCTTCTCGCCGCCCCTGCACCTCTGGCCTGTACCCCAGTTCTGTATGCACAAATAAATAAATCTTAAAAAAAAAAAAGGCTAAGATTCTAGAAAAGTTAACTGGAAATCACTGCATGTAGGTTTTACCCAATTAATATTTAGAGACTTAAACTGTAGTCAATAAATACAAAAAGGTCAGGCATGTTAGCATATTTGGCTGACAAGAGAATTGAATGCTATTAACTCTAAGGAAAAGTTTTTGTACTACAAATATTTTTATACTCAGGAAAGATGCTAGTTCACATGTGAAAAATTTAACTTTAGAGACATGTATAAAAAGCTTACAATCTGTCGTTTTCATGATTACACTGTAAATTTTTTAATTGGCTAACTTTTGAAACTAGAAGGGAAGTATGTTTCTTTTTATGTTAACAAACTAAACCCTAACACAACTGACTTCCGCTGACCCCTAATAGAGAAAACAGTCCACTTCTTCCTGTAAGATTTAAGACATCCCATAGACTGAGTAACCAAATTCAGCCAGACTGTTTTCATGGAAATAGTTCTTTTCCCAGAAATATTCTTCTAGTTACTGACTCCAAATCTTTATTTAAGATGTTCCTACTTCCCTGAACATTGGAGATAACTGTACATATATATTCAAGAAGTCTCCCTACTTAACCCAAAAGATTTTTTTTCAAGGCCATGTTCATTCCCCCCTCCCCCTCATGAGGTCTTTCTTAAATATCCCTGTGGGAATGAACAGACTTACTCGACGCCAAAGCAGCCAAATTCTTTGTAACAGAGAACATAGGCAATGTACATGTGTTCCCCACCCCCGTCTACATGCACCTACCCTAGAAAAGCTGCTGGAAAGTTGGGGTGGACTGAGCAGCTAGTGAAGCTGTGTAACATGGAAGGCAAGTTGGGGGGAGAAATTAACTCTTGTTCCCACCGCCCAACTTGTACCCTGGTACTGCTGAGGAGACATGTGGAGAAGAGACACCTGGGTAAGAGACATTTGGGAAGGCTGGCTGTGGCAGGGTGCCCTTGGTTTGGTATCACCTTTCATCTCAGCTTTCTGGACCTGCTGCAGAAGCCCTTTTTTTCATATAGTTCCCTGACAGCATGTTTATATTTTTGGTAACCTTTCAGGTCTTAGTGGCACTGCTTCAAGCTAACCATATTTGGCTGGGCATTTGACCAGGATGGTATGGGGAATTGGGTGATTTATTGAGAAAAATGTCATCCTCTCTATGCACACTAATTCTAATTAAAGATCTTTCAAGCCACACACATGCTTTACTTTATGTTCACAGACGGCTGGATCCGATAAAACATGCAACTTTAAGGTTATTGGGTTTCCCTTTCATCACATGCTAACATATGTGTTGTATCTTTGCTATCCTCTTTAAGCTCCAAGCCTCATTGATCCCTCCAATTTCCTGCATTAAGCCTTGTACAAATATTTACTGAAAGATTCAAATATTTATTGAAAGAATAAGGAAACTAATATTTAATTTGCATTGCTTGCATAGAAAATCCAAGTGATTTTATATTTTATAGCAAAAAAAATTGTTGTGTTTTTGTTATAAATAAAGTACTTTCTTATTACAGATTGGTTTATTAGGGAGGATTAAAATAGATCATTTTTAATTACACTTTCTTTTTTGTATGAGACTGCTCAATTATTTTGATCACTGGGGACAAAATATTTAAAAGAAAAAACGTGGATGAACAGCATTTCATGTCTTTACCCCTGAACTTCAGGTAATGGTAATGGTGCTACCACAACACTTTTTTTTTTTTAAAGTAAATACAAACAGAGAGAGAATAACTAGTCCAAAAACTATCTCGTTACAAAGCTAAAGATCATAAGAAATACTTAAATGAGAATTTCTCCTTTATGGTAGAAAAACAAAACAAATGCATCTATGTCTATGGTAGACATGGTTTAACCTACATTTTAAAAGTTCACTTTCATAGCTAATTGGAATTCTCTAAATGCCTCAAGAAAATCAGTATTATCTCCTCAAAATGGAGAAATATATATTGCACATAAACATCAACTAATCTTCTAAAAACTTCTACTACATGAAACTAACTTAAGATTGAGAATGACCACTCTGTAAGCTGTAGAATATACGTGATTTCTTGTTCAAATTAAATTGATGAGCTCGAACACAACTATCCACTAAACACATCCCACAGAGCATTCTAATTTTGACTAATTGCAATAAAAGAAATAAACCAGATAGTTCAAAATACGTATGAGTTAAATGAGTTAAATAAACAATATCAAGGATACCATAAGATGGAAGTAGCAAAGGAGTTGCAAACACATACAAGTTAGCTATGCAGAAATAGGAATTGCCGCTATACGCAATTAATCATATGGTGACTGATTAAAGAAAAAAAGTGGGACCTCAGTTGGACCTTGAAAAATTAGTAATATTTCTACTGCTAAATACAAT